GCAGTTTTACAAGCCTTGTTTGGAAGATAGCCTGTCCTGATAAAAGATAAAATGCATATTATCGTTTACATGAATTATGGATGATTAACAAGCTTTAATGATATGAGGTTTTATTGAAAGCAACAGCTTTGTTACCTTATAAGTCATATTGGTGAATTCCATGAAAGAGTACTTTTTAAATTGTGTTGAGGTTTAACATTTTATTTTGCTTTCTTTCATTATGCTAAGGATTCAACTGGCCTTGTTCATTCACCCCTCCCAGTTACTTTTTAGAGATAAAACTTACTAATCATAAGGCTGTACCTCTTTCCCATACTGTCTAGCTCATCCAAGTTGATACCAAAGGATTGTGAGGCAGGATGCATGGTCACTGTGAAAGCAGGGCTATTGTGTTGTTACAGATAGCAAGAAAGGACGATTTGAAACTTCTTTTTCAGTCTTGTCCTTTCACAACCCCCAACATCTGGTAGGAACTGGTTTACTCTCAATGACTGTAATTACCATCAAATACAGCCTGAGAGTTTACTTGTGTCATTTTCAGTTTTTGTTTGATTTACGTTAAACAATTTGAGCATTTAGAGTGAGATGCTCAAGAATTTTAATTTCATGTGAGTGTGCAGAAATTATAAGAAACGATTAATTTAGGGCTGGTTGCCAAATGAAATTTTAGAACCTTCAGTGCTGCCCTTTAGTATTTTCCATCTCATACCTTTACACTGGAAATTAATTTTTTAACTTCGATCTGCAAAAGTGCATCAAAATTCTTCTGTCCATATTGTGTATTTTATATATTTCTCTATGAGTCAGTGTACGCTAGAATGTACATTTATATAGAAAAAGTAATTTATATTAGCCAGGCATGGTGGTGGGCGTCTCTAATCCTAGCTACTTAGGAGGCTGAGGCAAGAGAATTGCTTGAACCCAGGGAGCAGAGATTGTGCCACTGCAATCTCAGTGAACTGAGATTGTGCCACTGCACCCCAGCATGGGTAACAGAGCAAGACCCTGTCTCAAAAAAAATAAAAATCATACTTTAAAAGTCAAAAAATAAAAATAAATAAAATGGTTAATTTGATGTTTAAAAAAAGTAATTTATATAACAGATGAAGTAAGTCACTTTTATAACTTACCAATCTCTGATTTTTATTTGTGTCTCTTCTGTGTTGCCTAGTGTTTTGAGCAGGGTTGGGGGGTGGGGAAGATAAATTCACCTGGCCTCACCTGTTGTTCTAGTGAGAAATACTGATACTTGCTGCCAGCTGAGCCTCCTCACACAGGGTATTAGAAGTATCAGTCCTCTAGATTAGAGCACCTCATTCGTGAGGTTCTCTGTTACTTATTTGGCTCTCCCACTAAAGCACAGGGCATAAATTTACGTGTCTGCTCTAGGGCTGGAGCTGCCTGTCACCCCCTCCTCCTCCTCTTCCCATTCTCTCCCCCATTTTGGTCTCAGGTCTGTCTCCTTTTTGTTGTTATGAGTGATGTGCAATGATTCAGACAGGGCACCTCTGCATGTTTCCACATCCTGGAGGTTACCAGGAGGCAGCCATGCTTCCTTGGCTTGGCCAGGCATCCCCGACTCCACCCCACTTTCCCCTTGGTGGTGGAAAGGTGGGTTGGAAGCTTGTACTGGGGCATATAGCCCAGGAACGTTGCTCTGAGAAGAGGACATGTGGAGTAGACACACAAATATAAGGAAGCAATTATGTTCATCAAGCTGAAAGTGGCAGATTTTGAGGAAATGTGTTTAAGGTACCACTACATAATAAAAGAGAAAGCTTGGCATTTAAATAACTTACTTCAAGAGGAAATTAGTGATGTTTTAGAAATAGAGTGGTTTTTAAGCCAACCTTGAGTAGGTACAAGCAAATTATAAACAGTCTGTCTGCTCAAGTGATTTTACTATACTTAGACTAGAAAATGGCTCCTAATCTCCCCCTGGTCCCTGTGTCCCAGTGCTGTCTCCTCATTTGTTACGATTGTCCGTGTATGTATTTTGGGACATTCACAGGTGGATAATGAAATTAATAATGTTAAATCATTCTCAGACTGGGTGTGTATGACTTTAGGTAAGCAGTCACTTACTTTAATTTGAAAAGCTTTCTGATAATACTATTTAGTATATGTAGCAATACTTTTGGGAGGGAATAGCCATTTTAACAACGAAACTTGTCACCTATACATAACTATATAGGGCATTTTGCTGTGTTATATTGAAGGTTATATGTTAATGATGGAAACTGTCTTAAGTTTATATGACTTCTAGAAAGCTGCTTTCAGAGTGAAAATCTCCTAGGCCATTTGTTGAAAGCTTACTTAGATTGGATGTGTAACATTTTTTCTTATATCTCATTATTGAAACCATGGGAATTGTGGTTCAGAGAGAAGTACTGAAAGTATCTATAAGGTATCATCTGAGAAGGGCTCTGGAATATAGAGTTTTGTTGTTGTTATAGAGATGGGATCTTGCTATGTTGGCTGGTCTCCAACTCCTGGCCTCAAGTGAGCCTCCTGCCTTGGCTTCCCAAAGTACAGGGATTACAGGTGTGAGCCGCCACACCCACCCTCAGGTTTTTGATTCAGCCCCTGTCCGTTTATACCTCCTGCAAAGCCCTGGCTCCCCTCCCCACCATTTGCAATCATACCCTGTCCTCAAGGCCTGGCGCAGTGCCTCCTCCATCCCAGCCAGCAAAGTATTCTCCTCTCTTGGACCTCAAAGTACAGAGGAGTGGATACAGTCATCATAATACCTATCTGTACTTATTGGACTATTTCCAATATATATAAATGAATCTCCCTTCTTCCTGTTTTCTCCTTATGCTCCTCACAGCGCAAGCTTTATTTATAATGGCAGGCATTTCTTTGTTGAATGAGTGAATGAATGCATGTTTAGATGGTGGAGAAAGAGTCCAGCATGGAAGCGCATGCAGTCCAGGCCTTACTGCTTCTCCCACCTGACCATGGCTGTGGGATTAGAGGAAGAACAGCTTATTTGGTGAGGGGGCGCTTAGCTGTAACATTTCAGTGAAGAGTAGAAGTTGTGTAACCTATGTACAAATCCCAGTTCTGTCATTGGCTAATCCACTGAGCAAGCGCTGTGCTATAGATGCTAGTGATTATCCCCATTTCATAGAAGAGGTAATTAAAGCACAAGGGGTAAAGTAGCTTGTTAAGTTCACATAGCTAAAAGTGGTGAAGCTTGGACATGAATACTGGACCTTAACCTCTCTACTATCTTGCCTCTCACAGTCTGCCTCTCTCATAGTAACTAAATACAGATTATACTTATTATCAGGCCAAAACTGTGACCACAGTGTGGGACACTGGGACTTGGTTACATTGCTCCAACCAGCAAGAAGCTTGGATATCAGCTTTCAGAATTGTACCCTTCCTTATCACCTCTTGAAGCAAATGTGTGCCATTGGTGCAGCCTCCCTGAACAGATACAATATTTCTTCATTCTGCTTACTTAAGCTTACTTTAAAAAAAAAAAAAAAAAAGTTTCTTAACTCCACCGCACTATTGAATCAGAATAGTGGCCAGAAGAAATGATTATAATATAGCTGAGACTGAGCAGCCCGGATTACAGGGAAGAAGCAGCTGGCGGTTTGACTGGTACGTGTTACATTCCTCAGCCCTCCTAGCTCTTTGTCCTTGCTCTTGTCTTCTCTCATCTTCCTTAAGTTCTCTGTCTTCTATGCACTTGGCCCTTCCTTTGATTATTATTCTTTTCCTATCTAGAAAGGAAAAAAAAAACCACTACAAAAAGTAAAGGAGGTTGGAGGCAATTTAGAAACCTGGAAGCCAGAAGGAAGGTGAAGTAGCATAGAATAGGAGCTCTAGGAAAGCCTTTAAATGCTGACTTCCACTTCTCTGGCTCGGCTGCCTTGTTTTTCTTTTGGTAAGCAGTTACTGAACACCTTGAGTAGCAGTCTTTTATGGTTACCTCACAATCTTTGTAAGTCTCTTTGTTTAGCTCTTTGAGTACTTAACCCTCTGTCACTGGCTTGTTCTTACTTACCAAAATAGTATTCTGATTGTGCTAGCAATGATGAGCACACTATTTTCTTATTTTATTTATATATATATATATATATGTGTGTGTGTGTGTGTGTGTGTATACATATATTATTTTATTTATTTATTTTTTTAAATTTTCTTACTGAGGAATTCAGCAAGCAGGAGCAGATCATGGTCCTTCCCACTTGGTGTCAATAAAGTTCCCTTGACTTTGGGGGCATATCTTAAGACCTTTGGCTACAGCAGCCAGAACCAGCTGAGGGAAGGAAAGTTTGGGGGCGGGAGGATGTGAGAGAGGAAGTGACCATGCTGTGTGCAGGGAGGCGAGCTGCTACAGAGAGAGGGCACCAAGGGAGGAGCAGCCAGGCAGCTGCTGCTGGAGAGCCCCGCAAAGGAGCTTCCGGAGGGGCCAGGAAGATCCCCCACTAGGGGGCATTGGTTAAGAGACCTTGTGCAGGAACTTGAGGCTTTTGGGGTATCAGATCTACCTAGTTAAATTTGAAAACCTTCAGTTTCATGTCCTGGCACTGGCTCTTCCCCGGGCTGTCTGTCATGGGTAAGCTATCGCAGAACAGACTTTACATTGGCCAACCCAAAACAGAGACTGGGAGGAGCCCCTTACAACACCTGTAGCTTCTAGATGGTGCAAGATCACTCTTGAAACTGGAGGCTTGCAGCCCAAACCCAGAGCTGATAGATTGTAATTGATGGTGCTGTGGAAATAAAACTCCCGTTAAAGAGTTTGGGCCTAATGAGGTAGGCTTGTTTGTTTCTTAAATGTTACATTTGCTCAATCTTAAAAAGATTTTTTAAAAGAGACAGCTTTTATATTAGAAATTATACATGCACATAAAACAATGTGTTAATTACTGGTGTCAAATTTCTGATTGGAGTCAAAACTCTTTTGTTGGTAAAATGATCAGACACTTCATCATCAGCTCTTTTCATTTTTTTTTTCTCTTCTCTGTTTTCTGTTTTAGTTGCTGATATGTGTTCAAGATGAGTGGGATGGGAGAAAATACCTCTGACCCGTCCAGGGCAGAGACAAGAAAGCGCAAGGAATGTCCTGACCAACTTGGACCCAGGTTAGATTCTTGCTGAGAAAAGGAATCAGTATTGTCTATGAAAGCCACATGAGTGCTTTTTTGTTATTTTAGCATTGATTTTACTCCTGATTCAAACACTGTGTTGGTTTTTCTCTTTAACAATTAAATCTTTGAATATGTACTTGCTTACATTTTGAATATGTGAATCAGTTACAGATTATATTCTATACAAGGAGAACTGGATACTTGTGGTATCTTTTGTGTATTTGACTCTTAGAATCAATTTAATAATCTTGAGTTTTTCACACTTTCTTTTCTGTTAGATCTACACAATGTTATAACAAGAGGATCCTATAGTAAAAAGATTTGCCGTTAATTTTATAATGGGTTTTATTTTTTTTGTTGTTGTTTTGTTTTTTAATGACAAAATGTTAAATCCAGATGCTTCTTAGTTGAGAACAAAGATTGTGGCTCTTTAGTGAATAAAACAAAGAATTTTAAAGCGAATTTCATCTCTCATATTATGGGTGGAAGTGTGAATTGTTATTATGCCCATGTAGGGTAATTTGGCAGTATCAAAATTATAAATGCATATCCTGTTTGAACTAGCTGTTCCACTTCTAGGAATTTTCCTATTACTTACTTTCACACATGCAAAATGATGTGTGTATGATGTTACTCAAATTGCAAAAGATTCAGTAAAACCTAAATGTCTGTTAAACAGCTGTGGTACATCTACAACCTGGAACATAATGCAGCTGGGTAAAGAATGAGGACATTCTTTATGGGTTAATATGAAAACATCTCTTAAGAGTATTGTTACAGACAAAAAGCAAGGTTTAGAAAATGTGTATGGAATACTACCATGTATATAAATAAGGAAGAAGAAAAGAATCTATATTGTTTTAGGATAATCAGTAAGCAGCAATTGTTGCTACCTGTTTTGGTGGATGAGAACTAGGCAAATAGGGAACAAAAGTAGAGGAGAGTATTTTCACTTTTTCAGTGTTTTAAATCATATAAATAACTTTAACAATTAAAAACCGCACCTTCTACCTAATGGACAGTAAAAACATCAGACGTGAAATAGTAGGGAAGAGGGCTAGGAAAAGTCATCAAGAGAGGCAGAGCAGAGGAGAAAGGGCAAAACACCAATATTTTATATTCCCTTTTCCCCTTCTAGTTGCCAAGCAAAACATCAAGCCCATTAAATCTCCACTCTCCACATCCCAGCCCCCAGCTTTTCTAGGTTCCCTAGTACTTCCTGGTAAACCACAAACTTCTGTCTGTCAGACTGCCTTTAATAGTCAGGAGCCCTACCTGGGGAGGCAGTGGGAGAAAATGGGCACTCTTCCAGCTGTGGACTGTGGTGACAGGTCTCTGAGCCCTCCCTCTGGGATGCTTAGGGGTCTTTTGAACACAACTCCCCTTTCTCACCTGTTTATTTATTTGTTACCTTGTTGAGGGTGGGAAGGCATGGGTGGAGGGTAATGGAGGGGGCCAGAATGGGAACTGGGCTATTCTAAACATTCCAGCCACTTTCTCAATTTCCCTGTGCAAACGGAAGCTAGGGGTAGAAATGAGACTTAGAATAAAACCAAATTCTGAATTACTGCCAGTAATTCGTGGGGTGATCTTGGACAAATTGTGTAAACACTATAAAATAGAGACATTTGTATTGTATATTAGGTTTTACTTTATGAAAATCAAACATGTTTAGAGATTAATATGTGAAAGTCTATTGTGAATTCAAAAATTTTTACATTAGTATTATATACAAATAATTTTAAATTAGTGTATACAAATAATTTTTAATTAGCATTATATGCTATATACAAATAATTTTAAATTAGTATTATATACAAATAAGAAGAGCAAGTTCCTTCATGTGGCAGCCTTATATAAATACAGAAAGCCGCTACATGAAGCAACTTGCTCTTCTTCCTTACTGTAGTGTTTTGAATGTCATTTAATGGACCCCTCTTTGCACTTGACAAAATAAATTGTATGCTGTTAGTATGAGAAGGAACTTTTGAGTTTACTATTTTGTCAAATTCAAGTGAGTACATTTTTGCCTCTTCTGTTATTTTTTCATTCTAGTAACTTTTTCAACTTTAGTTGAAATTGGACTGTTTGTTTGCATGTCATTCAGCTTGGACAGTTAACAAATTTCCTGGGTCAGTTTCACTTTTGTTTTTAACTGTAGTGTGACTTTTTGTATTATTTTAAAAGGCTGTTTGGTTTGCTTACTAACATTCTGAAGAAGCCTATAAAATTATAAAGATCTGGTTTTATTATTTTTTATGTTATACCAAAAAATACTGAAATTTATTTATTCCTATTATGACTGGGTAAACGTCTCGTCTTTCACTAATCTTAAATAAAATTTTAAATATAACCTCCTTTACCTTTTTGAAACATTCTTTTATTTGTCCATTAATTAGATGCCCACTTGTGTCAAGCACTGCACTAATAAGCACAGTGGTGGGCACAGTCCTGGCCACCATGGAACTGACAGTCCAGTGGGGGACGCCAAACACATTGAACAGATTGTTTTATTACAAACTGGGCTTAGGTTGATTTTCTAAAAAACATGGAACACTTTTGGAAAATTGTACTTTTTTCCCCCCACAAAGTATTTCCGTGTTTATATAGGTAACTTTTGTTTGCTATCTTTGCATTAAACTTGTTTAAGATGGTCATTTTTTTTTTAATAATAGCACTCTTTCAAATACATCATAAATATGTGTTTCTTCTTTTTAGCCCCAAAAGGAACACTGAAAAACGTAATCGTGAACAGGAAAATAAATACATAGAAGAACTTGCAGAGCTGATTTTTGCAAATTTTAATGATATAGACAACTTTAACTTCAAACCTGACAAATGTGCAATCTTAAAAGAAACTGTGAAGCAAATTCGTCAGATCAAAGAACAAGGTAAGAGGACTGAATTAGTATTTTGAAGAGCTGAATTGGTTTCTGTTTTTCCCTCTGTGAGAAGTCCCTTCAGAGTCCCTTTAATCCATTTCTTATGCTTAAATTATTGATGAGGAAATGATGTCACAGTGTAAGATGAATGCAAGTATCACTTGCAGTGGTTTATAAATAGGCTTTGTATAAAATTCCACCATTCCCTAAAGACAGAGGAGACTGAGGTGGGTCAGGATGATGGAACTTTTCATGTAGTAAACTCAGTCAGGTGCCTACTGATTGTCCTCCCCACACCATGACATTTTCATGGCCTACACAGCAAGTGACCGTCAAAAGTTGCAAGTAGGAGCCAGTTTGAGATGTAAACCAGAAGTAAGGAAGCGAAGCACCTCCTGTTTCAGCTAGCCAGCATGTTTGATTAGCCTGAGCCTCAACTGGCCACGCCACTAGATTAGAATTTCATATCCTGAATGACGAGATTTGAAAGGCTGTAACCTCCAGTAAGAAATTCTTCTGTGAACTTGAAACACAGAGCATGACAGCTGTCTTCTTGTGGTTTTCTTTTTTTCTGAGACGATTTTATGATTCTCTTCTTTGATATTTTTGCCTACAGAAAAGTATTAAGAAAATAATGTTTTCAGGAACACATTAGACTTTGTGATGACAAAAATAAATCTTTTTTCCGGCATGTATGAACAATGTCTTGGGGCCCAGGGCCAATGTATGCTCTTGAAGTAGCTGCATACTGCTTTTCTTCAGGCTAGGGAGATTATTATCTTTTGTAATCTGGTTGTTTTTTTGTTGTTGTTTTGGGGTTTTTGTTTTTGTTTTTTTTTTTTTTGAGATGGAGTCTTAGTTGCCCAGGCTGGAATGCAGTGGTGTGATCTCAGCTCACTGCAACCTCTGCCTCCTGGGTTCAAGCAATTCTCCTGCCTCAGCCTCCCAAGTAGCTGGGACTACAGGTGCCCGCCACCATGCTCTGCTAATTTTTTAGTATATAGTAGAAACAGGGTTTCACCATGTTTGCCAGGCTGGTCTCAAACTCCTGACCACAAGTGACCCTCCCGCCTCGGCCTCCCAAAGTGCTGGCATTACAGGCACGAGCCACTCTGCCTGGCCTGTAATCTGTATTTGAGTGTATCCCCTTGGATTTCAAATTTTTAAATCTGCCTTTTATGTAATATTCAAAAAAAGAGATATTTTATAAAAATCATATGTCTGTCTTTATAAACACATGAGCCTGCAACTGTCTGCTCCTCCCACAAAATCCTAACTACCTGTTAACATACTGTCTTAGCATTGTCCATTTTCATACATATACTGTTGAGCTAAATTCTGTGTAAAACAGTTTACAAGTATAGTTCTGTCTTCTGAGAACATCAGAATATACATAGACCACTCACAACACAGTTTGTAACACCAGCCCTCTCTGCGAATCAGTCTTTATTTCCTTTTCCCATACTTTTTTGGAAAATGTTATTTTTCCATAACATTTAACATTCAGTGGCTTTCTTCTTCCGGTACCTGTTCAGTCCCCTTCATCACTTGTCTTTGTTTTCCGGGGTTCTCTAGTAATCAAAAACTCATTTTAAATCTCAATTTTGTATCTTCATATTTTGGTGTCAGCAAAGGGATAAAAAAAGAGTTCTAGAACTCTTAGGAGAAATAATTGGTTAAAGTTATTAACCAGGCTGGGCACGGTGGCTCACGCCTGTAATCCCAGCACTTTGGGAGGCCGAGGCGGGTGGATCACGAG